ATGACCTGTTTATGTGCCAGTTAAATTAACTGTGTTACCTAATGAGATGTTTCCTTTAGTTCAGAGCCTTACGAACAATTTAATCGACTGCTCTTAGTTAAGGCTTTCAAAACCAAAACCAATTTCTCAGCCTCTACAAGGACGACTGAAGGTTTAATGCAGCACACTAAAACTTCTGAATTGTCCTCAGACAGCTCCCCCAGGACATCAGGAATCATTACCATCGGGTATGTTTTGCAGCACAGATTGTTTAAAGCACAACAGAGAAAGTGCCCGAGCCAATGCAGATCGCAATTTAATACTCAACAGGAACAGGGACACAATAAAAGCAGCCTAGACTATTTTCCCCCACTAATATCCAAGATGTTCTTAAAAACAGAGACGTGGGAAGAAACATTTATGCTTTTCCGTACATAGATCACCCTTCTGAGATCAGGGACTGGTGAAAAGAGACTTCCAACTTCGACAAGAGCCGGATTAGCCACATCGCTTTGCACACTAATACATTAAATTATCTGCTTTTTCCCACAAGGAACAGTCACAAAAACGCAGGGCTCCGTGTGACCGCTTTTTCATTGATACCACTCTTCTCACCAGCCTCGTTAAATCCCGATTCTGCCGCTTTCCTTCACAGCTCGGCCTGCCATTGCACCTACCAGCCACAGGCTGCCTCTGCCTAGAGGATCGGGTAGATGATCCCCTACGTGTACAAGCTGTCACCTGAGCAGCACTGGCACTCCTTCCACCCAAAGCTTGGCACTCTCCCAGCTGATGCACCAGGGCCAGTGCGACTGGGAAGGGCAGGAGAGATGCTCACCCTGCTAACACACACCTTGCGAGCCCTATGGTCCTCTTCAGCTGGAAGAGACCCAACTATTTCTCAGTTCACTCTGTTGCAAGGACCTGCCACCGCCACCAAAGCCCTGCTGTTAAGTGGCCATCTGCCTGCACAGCAAGATGTTTGCATAGCATCTTAAAAAAAAATATATGCCTCATGTCCTCCAGAGATACATACCAGACACAAGCATCCTGTGGGAAGGATCTGGTTTGGGGCCCCCAGTGGGATTTTTTTGCATATGATATGTCCAAAACAAGTGCCATAAAACCCTATTTTTATCTAATGCTTTCTTTGTCCTTTGGTGATGGAGGTTGCTTAAAATTACCGCAAGAACTAGCCTTTGTTACTCTTTGAATTACACTTGTGACTTTGATGTTACAAGAAAAATGTTGACTGAAGGGTCATAAGATCAAGATTTCATCTAAATGTTTCATGGGCCAAATTAAAAGTTGGAATCACTCAAAACTAGCAGGCTGACACCAGGAATATGCTTGTCACGGTCTGCTTAATGAATATTGGCTAGGTCATTAAGATGCTTTCTATCCATGTGGATTTCTCTCTTAATTTGAAATTTATAGCTTAATACCTTAGAGCTCAATTATAGGGTAAAAGAGACAGGAATAAAAGTCACAGCTTTTCTGTAATTAGCCATGTGGGATAGTTCAAACAGAACGTGATTCCTAGTGTTACAGACTTTTCTTTTTCCTTCCTAGGAATGCTAGTCAGAAAAAAGCCCATCCCACAGATTCCCAAGTACAGTAACACAGACTACAGATGAGCTCCTTTTACTCAATTACCTGTAAACCACTTGCAAAAGGTGAATCCCAGAACCTTGCCTGCCTCTTTACAGAGAGCAACTACAAACACTGTCAGATTACTGGAAAGGAAGGTCAGGCAGGACTTTACTTGGGTTCTGTACTGTAGTCAAGTAATGAAAAAATCGAATGTGTATCCTGCAAAGGAACACAGCCAGCAGTACAATGGAAGGCTGGGAGTCCAGTCCTTAAAGTCTCTGCACTTTTACTGATCAACAACAAGAGAAATCTGTAAAGATATTTCATTACAAAAGATAGGAAGTGCCCTCTTTCAAGTTTGTTCTCTTTTATTCGCACCACGTTTTTCCTTTTGAAATATTTTATGTTAATTCCTTATCTGTTTTCAAAGGAGCAGTGTAAAAAAGTGAGGAAGAGACAGAGCACACGTTCAGTTGTGAAATATGGTCTTCTACTTCCAGTGGCTTTCCGTGATGCTGTTTAGAAAGGCTTATTTTTGTGTTTGATGAGGACTTGCACTGATGCTCTACAACATGTTCTGGTGATCCCATCAAATCTTTCAAGCCTTTGTCTGTTCAGGTGTTGGCTGACATACTACTTTCCTCATTCATTTTAAGGATGGTAGGTAGCTTCTGCGAGCCGCACGATTTACTTTTATAGTCCACCGTAACTTATAATAGGACCAAACAGTAATTTCACCTTTCCCACTAAGCAGGTGTAACTGTGTTTTAATACTTTCCAAAACTCTGCATGTTTCTATCATAGATGGCAAATGCTATTACTAGAAATGTTAAGTTTCAAGTCTAGATACTTCCTGTTCTTGAAATTACACTGCTTGTAAAAACAAAGAATTATGTGCCTTGGTAATTGCAAGAAAAAATTAGCTATTAACCTGTTCTTCTGCAACTGGGTATGTTTACATACTAGAAAAAGACAACGAACATCCTTTGATGTTGATATAAAATGTACCAGCCTTTGTTCCGAGTTGTAGAGAAAGGCCAGAAATTTTGGAAGCTGAGAAATTTGTGAATCCGAGTCCAACCCATGCCTAAAGCTACTGGAAGTAGAGAAGGACACGAAACTGAATAGTCAGAAGCCATTTATCATGCTAATCCTTCCAGCATCTCATGACACCAGCAGGCTCTTCCAGTGGCTGCTGCACATTCCCTTTTAAACTCTAAACTTACCCCTTACTTTATTCTCAGCATCTGTTCATTCAGTTTAAACAATTTCCTGTTTTCTTAATAGAGGGAGAACTGATTAGACACAGTTTTGCTGTACTCTGGCCAAAATTGTGGAATGGGTGGTTATTTTTATTATTCTCAGCAGCACTCCTGGAGATCCCATTAATACTGAGGCTCCTTGATACAGCTCAACTATGTGCGGGAAGAAAACTAAGGCGAAGAGGGGAAGAGGAAATAAAGGCCATGAATACGTGGTTGGAGCCAGCCGGCCCCAGACTCACTCTGCACCTGTTTGGAGATGATGGGACAAGAGCCAGCTCCAACCTGGAAGTGGCTGCAGGGTGTTAACCTGCCCCAGAGGCAGGCAAAGTGTGCTAGCACAGACTCAGGTGGCTTCCAGGCATCACTCGGCTCTAGTCCACCCGTTGCAGCCTGGCACTGCACCCGTGGTGCCGCCCCTATGGTTTATTGTGCCCTGAAGCTCATGCAATTGTGCTGGAAGCACATGCCCCATGCCCCCTGCCAGCCCTCAGCCCCTGCACCACGCTGTCTCCATCCTCCTCTGGATTTCCTGCCTCCCTTTCCACAGCCTACTCCTGGCATTTGTTTGTTTTGCTTTGAAGAGAAACTCTTCAACGCAGGGCACTCGAATGGGGTTTGGGCAGTGTCTCACAGTGTCCTGCAGCAGAGGACCCAAGCCCAACTGCTGGACCATGAACCCAGCAGACACGTCTCTGGTTTCCTATGAGTCATGTCAGGCAGTGGCTGCTCTTATGCAGACCCAGCTGATTTTCAGCTCTACTTTTCCATTTATTCACAGATTTAATTTACACGTAAGCCACTGCAGTGCTGCTCAGAGGACAGCTGAGCACCAGGACAGGCTCCCGTGGCAGCAGAAGTGGGGCAGAGCCCTGGGCGTGAGGTGGGGAGCAGAGTGGGCAGTGGGTCTAGGAAGCGCCTAATGAGTTTGGAGTTTGGACCGTAGATAGAGTTGCTGACAGCCTGCCCTGACTTCACCTCCTCCCTCTCGCAAAGCCCAGCAAGGGGAAGCGCCTAACCGAACAGACCTGCTGGGGGGATCAAATCTGAGGGGAAAAGCTGAGCTCTCCTGCCCCAGGTTTGGATCAGATGGCTCTTTAAAGGAAACTCCTAAGTCCTGACGCTGGCCCTGCAGCACTCTAAGGGTGTGCACCCCCCCTCCCAGCCTCTGCAGTGGGAGTGAGGACAGACCATAGCGCAGTTTCAATGCTTTTTCTCAAAACAAACAAAACCAGCAAGCTTAACTTGCTCAAATAAGAACGGATCAAATTCTATTTCCCTTAATGCAGAGGGGAAAAATAAATTTTAAAAAGCCAGTTCGGGTTGCGGGCTTGGCGTCAGGAGTGGGACGACAGGAGCCTTTCCTCCTTGGACCTTCCCTGCATTGTGTGTGGCCAAAAGCAGGGGCACAGCCAAAAGGGGACCTGCTCTGGCCCCGCTGAACTGAACCGGTTCTGGTCTATCAGTCTGGAGCGTCTCCGCTGCCTGGTTACATGGATGCTATACGTGGGACACACATTGCCCAGAACAGAACATCAACCAAATAGGCCACGGACACCACAGAGACAAACAGTATTTCACCATTAGTTGCGGGTGAGGCCCAAGCTCCCAAGATAACACCAGGGATGCGTTTTGTTACACACAAGCTGTAAAGGATTCTTTCCTCATCCTACTGTGCCATTACACACAATGTCTCCAGTTCACCAGTGAATAGAGCGGACCAGTACTCACTGGTGGCTTCTTTGCAATAATAGACAGGCAGCAAGGATATACTAAAAGTTCATGCACTAGTGTGCGCTGTGGCACTTATAACATATCTACAATTGGGGGCATCCTGGGTATATGTACACAATGACTTTCCCTCCCTCTAGGGCTTTAGGGACTGAAAACCGTCCCCTGGTTGCTTAAAGTTCTTATTTTTAATCCAGAATCTCAAGACAACAATGACTGCCACACAGCAGAAGACGCACACGTACAAACATTGATTCATGGAAATGGAGTTAGGCTAGCGCTGTGCCCATTCACAGAGATCTGGTAACAAAACCACTGACGACTAAACAGCCTTTGACCCACGCTGACTGCAAGAGCAGCCCAAGCAGCTTTGCACTTACATGATACAAAAGGAGAAATCCCGAACAGTCTTAAACCTGCCGGGCATTTGCCTACCTTTTCCTGAAGGGAAGAAGCAATCCATCTCCACGCTGCTGCGGGAATGGGAAATGCAGAGCGCGCTGCTGGGGACCAGACCCTCCTGTGGCGGGTTCCGCTCCGTGGTCCGGACCAAGCACCAGCCTGGCCTTTCACTCGGCCGCTCCAGCAGCTCCACCGTCTGCCCCACCTGAATGCTCAGCTCGCTGCTGTGGCCCGCTGTGAAGTCCTGGAGCACCACGGTTAGTTCACACCCTCCAGACAACTGCCCATGTTCAACAGGGAAAAAAAAAAAAGACCAGGAATAGAAGTTAGAGAGGGCAGGATGAAGGCAATCATCTTTGCATCATATTTACACTGGCAAAGACAGGCTTTGTACTCCTTAGAAGCCAAGTTAATAATTTCTTTTGTCAAAGTTCAACACGATGTGGCCCTGGTTTCCTTTACTTCTTACTGATTCTGCTGGGCTGAAGTAAGAAATCAAAGCTCCCCACCCAGTAACCTTTTGAGTGCTAGCTGTGGGTGAATTTTCTAGCTGTGGGTGTCCATCAGAAACCTTACTTTTTTTTTTTTTTCTTGCTTTAGTTTGTGGGGTGGCTTTCTAGACTGGCAATAGGCCAGGCTGCCTCGGTGCTGTGCCTCGTGGCAGGACAAATTCCAGCTCACCCTCTACCACATGAGTTAGACACATTCCCACACGCCACCAGTGCAGCAAGGAAATGGCTATGGGTTTTTTTGCAAGACAAGAAACATGCCCTCATCTTCCCAAACTCGCTCTAAGGATTTCTTGGTAAACTAGGGAATCCTGACGGGGCAGATCAGAAAAGCTCCTCCCATGCTCTTGATGGAAAGCAGAGGTGTAAATATATAAACGTGGAGTGATTGATTATACGCTGACTTCCAGGATTTGTATCTAAGAATAAATGTATCGTCTTACTTCCGTACTGAGTGCTGGCAACCTGCTGCTTTCCTTCAGCCTCACACCCTGCGACTCTCAATGAACAACACTGGTCTCTGTTTAATCACAGTCTCTATATAACCAGAGACCGGATATATAAGCGCTTGTGTATATAGCAGAACAAAACAGAAGTGATTGCACAAGCAGCAGAGCTAACAAAGCTTGGTTTTTTTTACAGATTTGGATCTCAGAGCTGGATTCGCAGGTGTCTAAAGAGGTGTGAGCACAAATCTAAATTTTCTGGTGTGAAGGATGTTTTTATTAAGATTTCTTGCTGTCTGCCTGTCATTAGGGGCCCTCCTTTGGGTCTTTCTCCTCTATGTGCTGCCTGATTCCCTGAAGCATGCAGGAATCTCCAAGGTCCTTATTCCAGTGTCAAATTTCATAGAAGTTAGTTCACTGATTCAAAAGTTTCAAGAATAGTAAATAAGCTGATTCAAAAGAGTGTACTACCATAAACTTAATTTTCTTAGGATATGAAGCTAAACTCAAGCGTACAGACTTCATCTGGTACAATCCCCATATCCCTTATCTTAGCCCAAGCAACCCTGAATGCACTATCCCATGGGAACAGCCTCTCCCCACTCAGTGGCACAGGGGTTGCATGTGTCCCAATGCAGGTGCAAAAGACATCCCATTCACGGGGGTGATATTTACAATTACAGAAAAGGGTCACTGGACAAGGACTGGTTCTCACCTGTCCTGTGTCTCTGCCGTAGACGAAATGCTAGATTTGGGGAAGAAGAAGGAAATATTTCTCTGAAAGATTATTTGTAAATAAAGAGAAAAAACCCATACCAACCAAAGCATGGTAGCTGTTTGAGGCCATTCAGACAAAGTGCTGGCATTAATCCTGGCAGAAAGCTCAGTGAGTTGATGAAAGCGCGTAAGAGATCAGTTTAGTACCTAGCTATGCAGTTTGTCAGCAAACCCACCATTCATCATGCTGACATAATCTCCCCATAACTGGGTACCAACATTCACAGGTAGGGTAAGAATAAGATTCTGCTACAATATTTGCTGAGGTTTCTTTGCCATGGACTAATTTGACGAGTAGAAGATCTTTCTGACCCAATCTGGTATCTGGTATGGTATGAGATGGTTAAGACACAAGAAAAAAGCAGATTACTTCTTGGTAAATACACTGACAAATCTTACCAAATGTGATGAATTTCCCCTAATTCTTCCACTACTCCTTGCTAAGTAAATTTTCTACCTCCCAAATTATGCCACCGATGATATTTTCTCTGAAAATATACAAATTTCTCCTTCTTTTAGGGAAAAACATGTGAACAAATACCCTGCTGTATGTACTCTTCTCCCAGACGTCTTTAAAGCACCCACATGCCCCGCACTCGAGTACCACTAGATGTCCGTGTTTGCCATCACACAGCAAGCTCTCTGCTGTAAAGAATTAACTCTCACTTGTCTTCGAAGTGCTTAGCTTAGTGTCATGTGCGGTGTCTGGGCACGAAGGAGCTGGTTCAGACGGGACCCCAAGACCCCTACCTTCCAATGATACGGGCAGAGGATGTTCCAGAATGTTTAAAAATTTCTACAGATGGTTCAGGTTAATTTTTGAAAAATAAGTCATTTTCATTGCTTAAGGGGGAGAGGTGAAACAGTCCTGAAATATTCCAGGGAAAAAAGCCTGGTGAAGATAGAACTTGGCAAAGTCTGGGACTAACAAGGCACTTTCCAGGGAGCATCAGCCTGGGAAGTGCTACCCTAAGCAGCTCCCCACGCCCTGCCTGCGATGCTGCCCTCTGCGCTGCGGGGCTGCTAACCTCCCATCAGTCTGTCGCAGGCCTTTGCCAGTCCCGTCTCAAGTAACTGAACATCTGTGATACAAACAGATGCTTCAGTTAGGGCAATGCCTGCAAACACTATCCAGAGGAGGCAGGTGTGCTCCACGACCCTCAGGTACCATCTACCCTGAGCTCCTGTTTCCTCTGATTCATTAAAAATAGCGATCTAATATAATGAGAACTGGAAGTAATCACCCCCTCTAGGAGCTGTTTGGCACCTGGTGTGATCAAGCTCTTCCTCAGCAGGGGAGATACTCACGCACCCTCCCCACAGCCCCCAGCTTTAGAAGCCTACCTTTGATGTGTAAGGGATGGAGCTAACCTCCCTCAGCTCCTTGGAAGCTGTATGAATTTGTATCACCTGCTCCTCCAACATCCTCTGGATGCAAACATGGCCCAGAGCTTCCCCATGCTCCAACTCTCTGGTTGGAGCCAGTGCTACAATAATACGTTTTCAGGGAAAGACCCCCTCTTTGGCAGGAAGAATTAGGCAGGTTCCCTTTTACAGGTGCAGGCAATAGGTGCAAGCAGTTAGCTCAGGTAAGGGCCCACAGATCATTTTTAGGTGCCAGCTGCAAAGAAAAAGTCCCCCTTCCTTTTGCCCAAGGACTTCCAAATGTTACCATGCCTGTTCTGTGTCTTACATACCACCACACCACAAAGAACCTTTACTTACAAATTAACCCACAGCAAAGAAACCTCTCTAGAAACCTTGTCTTATAATAACACATACACGATTTGTAAGCCACTGAGGAATAATGCAAATACAAGTGATTCCCGATGACAGAAATCCTTACACCTATGAAGTGATCCCTCAAGCTATTAGTTACTTAATTTGTTTTCAGAGAGTAGTTTTCCAATCTCAGAGAAGTACATCATGCTTCTATGTCGGAGCATGTAAATGGGAATACAGGTGGGCTGCTGGTTTCTCACACATATTGCATTTGGTTCGTAAAGAGAAAGAGAATAGAGAACGCCCTTAAGGTTGAACTTCACTGTTAAATGGCTTCATATTTTAACATGTAATGTTCACTTTTATTATTCCTGTGATAAAAAACACCATTAAAAGCCACTGACTGGACATATTTAAAACCCAGACAGCAGTTTAATCTGTGTACAGTACAACAAGATCGGTGAGAGACATTAAAATAAAAAAAAATAATGCAACATGCCTTTGCAGAGCACAAGGCACACCTGAAAGATCTGTCACAGGGACAAATCTAATGAATTACACAGCAAGCAACAGCTCTAAAATCAAGAAGAAAAGGAAATGGTAGAAGCAAACAGCAAAATGCAATGAGGAAGCAGGAATGCCCCAAGCAGACCCAAGCAAACGTGCTGTATGTCCCAAGAGAAGCTAGCAGGAGCCCCAGCCTGTCTCCACTGTGCCTGCCACCAGCTACCCATCTCTTGTCCTCTGCCTTCACTTGTTTCTGGCCTAGAAAGCATCACTGGGTATTCAGTGTGTTAGTGTTTTCATCAGGATGTTCTACAACAGACCAAACCTGAGCTAGAACGGAGCCCTGCCCTACACCACCAGTGCAACCATGGGGCCATTGAGCACTCTCCTCTCCACTGCAGGGCATTGCTCGTAAACCTCTGAGCATCGGTGTGAGCAGTTTATCTCGGGCACTGACTCTGGTCGCTGAGTTGTGTCATGACTCACATGAGCCTTTTTGCTTCTGGGAGCACCCAACTAAGTGCCCGTCAGCTTCAAGCAACCAAAATGATCCCAGGCACGGTCATGTGCTGCAGGAGCACCCAGGGTGCTCCAAGTGCAGGCGCCAGCACAGCTCTGGGGATACCAGCTCATGCAGGATTACTATGAGATGGTCCTTCCTGAATCATGGTATGTGTGCATGGCCACTGCTGCATCTGTTTAGCTGTCAGCCACAAAGCAGCAGCCAGAGGAAGCAAGGCTGAACACGAGCGTCACTATACTGCAGATAAAAAACACCTATCAGGTCACAGGCTGTCCTACCTTCCCTCTAAAATGGATCTTAAGTAGTAAATCCGCTCCAGTTAAAAGGGAAGTGGGAATGAATAGCTGTCTAAGAGGGTGAGCAGGGAAGACCCTGTGAGCTGGACCACAGCCAGCATTTTGATGCTGCTCTCTCCTCCCAGCCAGCCCTGGCGAAGATGCTCCATGTACCTGAGCAGTTCCTCTGGCTCAGTGCTGTATTTGAATCCCTGAGCTGGATGCTGAGGAGCGACTACAGCTCAGGCAATCTCACTGCCACTCACTGAAGTACACAGATCAGTTATACCTGGAGTTCCCCATTTCCAAATACACCTACAGGTTGGTCAGACCCTTCTCACAACTGAGTAGTAATAGAGAATAGGAGAATAAATGTCAGTGCATTATACCCATCTCTCACCTTTGCATCAACTCCTTTTGAGTATCACACTGCCTGAAAACACAGTAAGCTCAAGCTGCCATACCTTTGCCAAAGCCTATACATTGTCATTTGTCTGGCCTTTATCCTGACTGCCAAAGAT